GGCAACAAGTGACAGGATGAGAGGAAAACAGCCTCAAGCTGTGCCTAGGGAGGTTCAGGTTGGACATCAGGAAGAACTTCTCCATGGAAAGGGTTGTTAAGCATTGGAAGAGGCTGTCCATGGACCTGGTGGAGTCACCATCTCTGGAGAAGTTCAAGGAACAACTGGCCGTGACACTCAGCACTCTGGTTGAGTTGTCAAGGTGGAGATCAGGCACAGGTTGGACTCAATCTTGGAGGTCTTTTCCAACCTAAATGATTCTGGGTGTCTGTGACAACCCCAAGAACCTCACCATGTGCCTGAGAGCTCAGTTATGATGAGGAACAGAACACACACTCAGAGACTGGACTTGAATCTTTGGTCTTACCAACTGATAGTGGTTTCTAACCTCTCTCAGAGTCGTCAATCAGTTGAAGATGTGCTTGATTTGGGGTTTATTGCAGCTTATTTGAGGTGAAAGCAGAAAATATCTCCCCCAAAAGCTAATAAAAAGCTCACAAAGGATTCTCTGCACCCTGCAGAAGAATCTCTGGCTAGGAGAGGAGCTGCTGTCACTCATGCTCAAAGGGCCAAATTCCCTCCAATAATCTTCGATTTGGTGGCAGATTTCTCATCCAAAGGAGCATTTCAGTACCTTCTCAGCTTTGTTTAGCAAGTGTAACCCTCCCTCTCACAGCAGAGCCTCCTACTTTTGAGCTTGCCAAAGTATTCCAGAACCTGATAATTCAATTTGCAAGGTGGAGGAGGAGGATGCCTCATCAGTCCTTGTAGAACAAGATTTATCTTCCTGTCAGCTGTAATTCTGACACTGTGGCAACTCTTTGTGAAGATTGATAGAGAGGCCAACACCTCACCTTGAATGTTCCTTTGCTGAAGACTCCATCTGTGCTGTCTGCAGTGGTCAGAGCTCTCAGGCTGTGGATCTGTGCTGACAGGTTGACTCCAGGAATGTCAACTGCAACATAAGCAGCTTCATCATAGTGGAACTGGATAACTATATAACACAGTTGGCTCAACTTTTTGTGCCCTTTAACAAAATGGAGTTGGTTTGTTGTGGGGTTTTTTTTGCCTTTTCTATTTGTTATCCCAACTTAGAGGATGTTTTAACTATTCCTGTTTTCTCCCCCAGGATGGTCAGTCACGAACTGTTCGTCAGTTCCAGTTCACTGACTGGCCAGAACAAGGTGTGCCAAAATCAGGAGAAGGTTTTATTGACTTCATTGGACAGGTACACAAGACCAAGGAGCAGTTTGGCCAGGATGGCCCCATCTCTGTCCACTGCAGGTAGGTGCAAGGGGAAACATCCCACCCATCAGGGGAGCAGAAGGAATTGAACTCCTCCAGATATCTTCCCCTCCTTTCCCACTCCATCTCTGCAGATTTCTTGGGGGTGTCAATGCCAAACAGTTGGTTCTGCCACCCAAACTCTTCTCCCTTCAGCCCTGGGCACTGCCCAAGAGGCCTCTGACCCTTTGTGTCTAGGGGAGAGGTAGGAAATGCTGATACCCTGAAGGAGATGAGAATTTTCCTGTGCTGTATATAATGTAGATATGCACATTAGAGTGTGTATAGCTACACATCTCTGTATAGTTATATTTGACCTGCAGAATTAGAAGTAGTTTTGGGTCACATTCTGTAGCAGTTTGACAATTTCTGGATACCTATCCCAGAGGACTGACCCATACTCTGTACTTCCAACACATTCCCAAGACCTATCTCAACCCTACCCCAACCTCAACCTTTACAGGAACATTTGAACATTGTAACATACAATTTTCCTGGTCTTTTTTTTTCTTTTTTTTCCTCCCCTTCCTGCAGTGCTGGCGTGGGCAGGACTGGAGTGTTCATCACACTGAGCATCGTCTTGGAGCGAATGCGTTATGAGGGTGTTGTAGATATTTTCCAGACAGTAAAGATGCTGCGAACACAACGACCTGCAATGGTGCAGACAGAGGTGAGCTGGGCTGGGGAACCTGCTCCTGAGGGCCCAGGGGTGAGCAGCATTGCCCCACAGCTCTGTGTGATCCTCCTGGGTTGGCCAAAGTCCTTCATGCCTTTAGAATCATGGAGTGATTTGGGTTGGAAGGACCTTAAAGGTTATCCCATCCCACCCCCTGCTACACCTTCCACTAGGTTGCTCCAAGCCCGGTTACCCCCCCCCCTGCTACCCCTTCCACTAGGTTGCTCCAAGCCCTGTCCAGTGTGGCCTTTCTAAGCTTTTCTCTCACTTGAAGGGACTCAGCAAGCCCAGGCTGCACTGCTGATTGTACCTGACTCATAAATTGATTAATTAAGGACTGGAGCATCTCCCCTATGCCCCCCTGCTACCCCTTCCACTAGGTTGCTCCAAGCCCTGTCCAGTGTGGCCTTTCTAAGCTTTTCTCTCACTTGAAGGGACTCAGCAAGCCCAGGCTGCACTGCTGATTGTACCTGACTCATAAATTGATTAATTAAGGACTGGAGCATCTCCCCTATGAGGACAGGCTGAGGGAGTTGGGACTGTTCAGCCTGGAGAGGAGAAGGTTGTGTGGAGACCTCAGAGCACCTTCCAGGAGCTGAAGGGGCTCCAGGAGAGCTGCAGAGGGATCTGTGTTAGGAACTGCAGGGACAGGACAAGGGGCAATGGGTACAAATTGAAAAAGGGAAATTTAGGCTAGGTGTTAGGAAGAAGTTTTCCCTGTGAGGGTGGTGAGACACTGGCACAGGTTGCCCAGGGAGGCTGTGGCTGCCCCAACCCTGGCAATGTTCATTCCAGTCTGGATAAAACCTTGAGCAACCTGCTCTGGTGGGAGATGTCCCTGCCTAGGGCAGGGGTTGGAACTGGATCATCTCTAAGCTCCATTCCAACCCCTAAAAGTATATGAATTAAATTCCCCGTTGTTATAAAGTCTTTTAAGAGATTAAGATTCCATCCCAGTCTGGCAGCCTTGATTCCTACCTCCCTCCCAGCTCTGAGGTGGGAGGAATCACCTAACCACAGCCTGAGCAGGTGAGGAGGGAGATGACAGAGATATAAAGGGAAAGGTTGAGCTTTCCTCTCTCAGTTCTTAGCTCTTTTGGAATCAAAGAGGTTCCTGCTCAGCTCTGTGCTGACTGGGAAGCACAACAGAGATCCTGAGGAGCTTTTTCCCACCTCCTGTTTCTCTTTGCTGTTGACAGGATGAATACCAGTTCTGTTACCAGGCAGCTCTGGAATATCTGGGAAGTTTTGATCACTATGCAACATAAAAAGCCATCGTTGTGCAGACTCTACCAACCACTTCAGTCCTGGAAGGCCTCTTCTGTCCCAGGAGGAGAGCTTGAACTTACAAAACTGAATCAGAAGAAGTACCTTTTCATCTGGACAATGCTTTGGGGGAGCAGGGGGGAGGAGGATTGGAAGGAACACCCCTTCAGGAACTCCATGTATAAACCTGGCCCATGGAGAGGCAGCTCAGGAGGTTGCTGAAGGACTGCTTGAAGTGGTGAACTGCTCTTGTTACCTCAAGTGGTGTTCGCTGTGGAGGACCTAATGGACGTGGTGAAACAGATCCAGAAGCTAAAAAAAAAAAACACACCTTGGGGAAATGTTTCAGCTGGAGAAGGGAAGGAAAAACAAACAAACAAACAAACAAAACAAAAAACAACCACAAAAAAACAAACCGACTTTGGTTACATCATTAGAGTTCAGTTTCTTTACTAATCTAGTTGGCAGTCTTTAAAGGAAGTCACTTGCAGAATTGAAGGTGTTCTGGGAAAGCAAAGGAACTAAATCTCAACTCTTAGGTAAACTTTTAGGGTCAGGAGTCTTAATAACCTCAGTGTTAGCATTGGGAGGATCCTGGGCAAACAGCCTTCATGGCACAGCAGAGGTTTTATAGCTCACCTTTTGAATACTTGGAACATTCCTCATTTCTTCTAATTCCAAAATTTATTTTTTAGGCTATTTAAACTGAGAGAGGAGGAGAGATTGAGATTGAGAGAGAGATCCAAACCCCAGAGCTGTGTGGGGTGAGCCTTCCCCTGGTGCTGCAGCAGTGGGACAGGGAGAGGTGGCAGCTCCCATGGGCTGGCTCTGCTCCCTCTTTTCCAGCACATCTGGCTTTGGTTGGAGCAGGGCTGGGACATCCCAGGAAGAAAGGGAACCCCTTCCTCAGGCTCTTTGCACAGTCACACACACACACACTGCTGCTGTGAGCAGCTGTGCCCTCCTGAGAAGGCCAGAGAGCATCTCCTGGACAGGAGCATCTCCAGGAGCATCATCGTGGACACAGGAGCATCATCCTGGACACAGGAGCATCATCCCTGCCAGGAGCATCATCCTGGACACAGGAGCATCATCCTGCCAGGAACATGTCCTAGTCAGGAGCATCGTCCTGGACAGGAGCATCATCTTCCTGGACACAGGAGTATCTTCCTGCCAGGAGCATCTTCCTGCCAGGAGCATCTCCTGGACAGGATCATCTTCCTACCAGGAGCTCTCCTGGGCAGGAGCATCTTCCTGCCAAGAGCATCTCCTGGGCAGGAGCATCCTTGTGCCAGGAGCATCTCCTGGACACAGGAGCATCTTCCTACCAGGAACATGTCCTGGACAGGAGCATCTTCCTGCTAAGAGCATCTCCTGGACACAGGAGCATCTTCCTGCCAGAAGCATATCTGTGCCAGGAGCATCTCCTGGACACAGGAGCATCTTCCTGCCAGGAGCCCCACAAACACCCTTAGGCAATTGATTTCCAACACCCAACTGGTTCTTGCTGCCAATCCCTCACTGCCCACAGCAGCTCTTGGGAGCAATGTGGAGCTTCTCTCAGGACTGTCCCAGTACCACATCACACCTTGGCACAGCTCCCACCATTCCCCAGCTATAAAAGAACTGGGAAAGATCCAGGAAGGTGCATCCAATGGCATATACTGTGAGTGGCTTTCTTTAAAGTATCGATGTAACTGTAACAAGTGACATTACTTCTTTTTTTTTTAAATAGTGTATTTTTTTCCTTTTTTTTTTTAAAAAAAAAAAAGACAAAGAATATCAGTCAAGGAATTTAAAAAAGAAAAAAATTTGCTTATTTGTTCATATTATGTTCAAAGACAGTCTATTTTTTCACTGTAGAAATGTTACGTGTAATGGCTGTGATATATAAAAAAAATGCAGTGCAAATTGCTACTTCTACATATTGCTTTTCTACCATTTAAAAGGTTTAACTTGCTCATGTAAGAACAAAATGTCCTTTCTGGATTTTTTTTTTTTTTTGGATTTTTTTTTTTGGGTTCTTTTCTTTTTTCAATCCATCACAGACATATCCCCCAGGCCCTGGAAGGGTGGGAGAGCAGCAGCTGTAGAAGTGGTGGCAGTGCCAATTCTCTTCCCTTTCTGCTGTGGCTGGCCAGAGCCAGAGCTGAACTGGGAGATTCAACCCCACCAGTGGTTTCTGACTAGAGACAAGGTCATGATTCCAGAGCTTTGACACCCTCTGCCTGTGCTGGTTGGAGCTGTGATGCTCTCCCAGCAGGAGTTTCCCTGCACAGAGGACAAGATGTATGGGAAAAGAGCCACACTGCCCCCAAAAACTCTGCTTGCCTCTGACTTTTCCCTTTGGTTTCTTTTTGGGTTTTTTTTTTTTTCTAGAAGGGGTAATCATGGCCATGAAGTGCTGCCCAGAAACCCCCACACAACCCATTTCCTGTCTTTAACCGAAAAGAAAAAAAAAAACCACAAAAAAAAAGAGGAAAAAAAAACCTGACTGAAAGGCTTCTTCGAGATTTTACTTATTTGTGTGAAAGTTGCCCAAATTTCTAAGTATGTTGCAGCAAAATCTTACTGGACAAGTTGGGGAGGGGGGGAGGGAGGAGGGGGGGGAAAGGATTTGGTTTTGTTTTTTTTTTTTTTTCTTTGTATGAGAGCAAAGTGCTGTTGCTTTCACACTGTTATTTCAAACTGAAACAGTAAGTGGTTTTCATACCACGGTGTATGTAGATATATTGACTTTGTATTAAAGGAAGATTGTCTGACCTTGGCTGCAGCCCTGTGTGTTGCTGGGGGTGAGCAGGGGATGAGGCAGCTGCTCCAAAAATCCTTCCTGCTGCTGCCCAGGGCAGGGAGCAGGTTGTTCTCCCTCTGCTCTGCTTATGCTCCTGCTAAAAATAGGCACCTGGACAAACCAAACATGTGGCTGCAAAGAAACAGGCTCATTTGGAGAGCTTTGGGCCAAAGGCCTGAGCTTGCTGCTGGTTTAGTGGTGGGAGCAGAGCCAGCACTGAGCTCAACCAAAAAAGGTTCAGCTTACCTGGAGGGTTTAGCCTTTGGTGACACTGTCTGTGTTCCCCTGATGTGGCACAGAGCTCAGCATCCCTGCTCAGGCTGCAATGAGGGTGCAGATCCATGCTCCAGGTGCTGTCCTGGTTTGGATGAGAGCTCCAGGCTGCAGGTGAGGAGTGGGAAAATGCTCACTCAGAGCAGGAGGCAGTGAAAGCAAACAGCTCCATGTGAAGGTCATAGCCATGGCAGATGGAGGTTTCCACGTCTGCATTGAGGGGGATAGTCCTGGAAGAGAAGGAAAAGGCCTGGAAAAGCCCATGCCACACTCCATCACCTGCAGAGCAACAAGTAGAAAGCTGAGCTCCATCTCAGTGCCAACCTGAAAGAGCTTGTGGCTGCTCCAATCCAAGTGTTCCAGGTCAGGCTGGAAGGGGCTTGGAGCAACCTGGGCTGGTGGGAGGTGTCCCTGCCCATGAGAGGGAGTGGGAATGAATGAGCTTTAAGGTCCCTCCCAACCCAAACCATTCCATGAGCCACTGCAAACCCCTCGTGCTGCTGAGCCAGACTCTACTAAGCCAAGCCCCAGGCTCTGCCAACCATGGCTCCTGCTCACAAGTAGGCTCAGTCCAACCTGAGCTTCCCACATCCCCCACCTTAGGCCAGACAGGAGCTCAGGCTGGTGAGGACACAGCTTTGGAGAATGATGGAATTGTTCTGTATCAGGGATTCTTCCCTCCCTTGCACAGCTGGGCTGGACCAGCACAGTCCCCTTCTCACTGCCACCAACCAGCAACACTTTGACTCAAGATGAAAGACCAAAACCTTCCTTAGCAACTTCACACAGAACCACAAGCAGCCACCAGGTGAGCAGAGAGCCCAGGGAACTCCACCACATGTGAAGGATGGAGCAGGGAGGGAGCTAACCAAGCTCCCAAAGGGAAAAAGGAGCCATGAATCAAACCCCAGAAGCCTCCTGCTTTGTACCCATGTCTCATGTATGTGAGTGCCACCAGGAAATCATGTGAACAGTGATGAGTTGTGACTCTTCATCCTCTGGACTCAAAGATCAGCTCCATGATGCAGGACAGACACCTCTCACCAGCCTTACCCAGGTGAGATTGCTGCTCACTTTGTGTTATCCTGGAAGAACAGGAAGGAAAAACTGAATTTTTCTGCTCAGTTCTGTTCCTCAGCCTCCCCCTCCCTCCCTCCCCCCCTGCCTACCTGCTCCCCTGCACTCTCAGCAAAGCTATTCCTGTCTCTCTGTGACTCTAATCACTCCCATCATTGCTCTCCAGGCTCTTATTTTGGTTCCATCCCTTTCTGAGTTGGCATGACCATCCCCTGGGTTGAGCTGCAAACCCCTTATAGAACTGCAATAAATCCCACCTGGAGCACAGGAAGGTGAATGACAAAGAGAATTGGAACAACAGCTGGGAATGAAGTCAATCTATCAAGAAAGCCCCAACCAACACCACAGGAAGTCAGTTAGGGAAACAAGTACAAAATGAAATCTCATTGCAGGAGTGAAGCTTACTCAGAGGCTCATAGTGATGCTGAGTCTGCCTTGACCCTGCAGCAGTGGTGAAGGTCCCACAACAGCTCCTTGGAAGGTCAAGAAACCCAAGCAGCATTGCTAAGAGAATCCTCTTCCCATCTTTGCCTCTTGGTTTCCTTTACATCTCTCCAACCAAAACCAACATGAGACATTCCAGCAGAGTCTGTAGCAGCAGAAATGAACTCAGGTCCCTCCTGCTCCTCTCACCATGAGGTGAGGCAGAGCTCGTGGGAGGAAGGAGGCAGCAGAGCCCTTAGCTGAGGGGGACAGATAAAGATTCTGGCACAGAAAAACCCACCTGAGGTGTCCTGATCCAGAGACACCTCCACTGACAAGGGAGGGAACACACGTGTCCATCCCCAGTTAATACTCCTGTGGTTCCCTGCAGCTGGTTTGGATGGACCAAAGGGAAGCAAAGTGCTTGGTGGGCTGGGAAACAAAGGTCACATTGCTCAGGGCCAGGCAGGGCCTGACTCAGACCATCAGACTATACTGTGCCTGTCCTTGCACCTCCAGATCCCTAGAGATTCCAGCAGGGAAGCCAAAAGAACCATCAGCAAAGAGCAGAGACACAAACAAGCTCCCAGGGGCAAAGAGGGGTAAAGGAGAACCTGCTGTGACCTGAGCTCAGCTCCACAAACCCTCCTTGCTCCTTTGCCTCAGCTCCATGCAATTCATCCCACAAAGCTTTTCACAGCTTCATTTATCACACCAGAAAACTGCAGGTTTGAGGCTCTGT